TTTGCACATTATAGACACTTGGCAAATATTTGTTGAGCAGAATTGAACTGTAATAGCAGTACTTGTACTTGGATTCATTTAATATTTATTGAGCACCAGAAACCATAAACAAAAAGATTGGTCCATTTAATTACATTAAAATGTAAATCACTGCACAGAAATTTTGAGAGACAAAACATACAGAATACAAATGACAAAGAGGTAGTTTCCTTACAATATCAAGAATTCCCCAAATCATTCACATCAACAATCTAAAAAAAAAAGGGCAAAGGAAATAAGCACACCCATTCTATTTTTCATTCAATAATTTTAAGGATGAAAGGGTTTTAAAGTACCCAGTTGGGGGGACACATGGGTGGCACAGTCCGTTAACAGTCAGACTCTTGGTTTGGGCTGAGGGTCTTGAGATCCAGCGCCGTGCTGGGCTCCGCACTCTGCCAGCGTGGAGTCTGCTTAAGTCTCTCCCCCTCTCCCTCCGCCCCGCCCTGCCTCTCTCTCTCTCTAATAAATAAATAAATATTTTTTAAAAAATTAAGTACCAGTGGGACTGAGGCTGTGAGGAAAGAAATGCTCACAGGCTTTGTTCATTAAAGTAGAAACTGGTATGTCCCTAATACCTACAATATTTAAAATGCAGGAGCCTTTGACCTAGAAATTCTATTCTTAGCAATGTATTATAGAGAAGAAAACAGAACAGGCAAAGAGCCATACACAATAATGCTTGTTGCAACCTTGTCTCTAACAGCGAACCCATCAGTGGAAGGCTGGTTCAATGACAGTATAACTACACAAGGGAAAACTGCAGCCGTTGAAAGAAATGGAGAAAATCTATAATCACTGATGGAGAATTATTCCCAATTATATCTCTAAATGAAAAAAGCAAGGTACTTCCAGCTTATACACTATGCTGTTCCTTTTGTGGAAAACAAAACAAATACACAGATATCCTTTATATGCATAAAAACCTTGGAAACTTTTTGACATGGGCTGCTTCTGGGTGGATTTATTTACACTGTAGACCCTTTTGCATTATTTGGACCTTTGAACATTGTGTACCCTTTCGTGTTGTTTGAGCATGTTTTTCAATGGGTTCAATTTTAAAAGCCACCCCGCAGCCCCCATACATACACATTTGTTGATCAATTACACACACTAGAAGCTTATCAGGTATTAAGGATATAACCAGGAATGATATTGCTTGTCTCCACTGGGAGCTTTCAAGTAGATAGTGATTCTCAAAAGGATTGCTTCTACATACTACAGCCCCAGCATGCCACTCTCTCCCACGGCATGGAGAATCTGCAATGAGACGCTTCCTCGGAGGGAAGTACATGAACACAGTAAAATGCCGTCTACACATTTCGTTAGTTGATAGCTGGTATCAAAGCCGTGTCTGAAAATCTTCTCACTGCACCAACACACATCCTGATACAATTAATTTATCAGGTTAATTAGCTTCCCTTCTGCAGTGTCTTGGAAAGAGAACAATAGTGGCAAATTAGACAGTGGGGATGGGACTCTGTCCCTCCAAAGTGGTGCGCGACAAGATCTTGCACAATCTGGGTACAAGAAGAGTATGCTAAAGTTATCAGGGTATGTGCAAAGAGGCAAACAAGGAATTAGGGAATTAGTGAAGACAAATTTAGAACTGAGCATCCTGGGCGCCTGGGTGGCTCAGTTGGTTAAGCAACTGCCTTCGGCTCAGGTCATGATCCTGGAGTCCCGGGATCGAGTCCCTCATTGGGCTCCCTGCTCAGCAGGGAGTCTGCTTCTCCCTCTGACCCTCTTCCCTCTTGTGCTTTCTATCTCTCATTCTCTCTCTCTCTGAAATAAATAAATAAAATCTTTAAAAAAAAAAAAAAGAACTGAGCATCCTTGCTAAGTGGAGCCATATTATGATTACACACATTAAAGATTTGCTGGTCAAAAGTCCCCAGTTAGTTTGTCACCAAGAGTACTTCACAGAAAACACACCTACAGAAACCATTCATCAAAGAGCTAAGCCATTACTACAAAGCTACAATAATCAAGACAGTGTGGCTAAAGACAGACATATATATCAATGGAATAGAATTCAAAATCCAGAAATAAACTTTGACATATACAATCGATTTGCAGTAGGAATGCCAAGACAGTTCAAACTATTCAACAGGAGAAAAGTATAGCCTTTTCAACCAAAGCTGCTGGGACCTGCACAGCTACATGCAAAAAAAAAAAAAAAATGAAGTTGGATTCCTACCTCATACCACATACAAAAATGAACTCAAAAAGTATCAAAGACCTAAATATAAGAGCTAAAACTACAAAACTCTTAGAAGAAACATAGATGTAAGTCTTTTTGACCTTGAATTAAGCAATGCTTTCTTAGATGTCACTGAAAGCAACAAAAGAAAAAATAAATTGGATTTCATCAAAATTAAAAAATTTGTGTTTCAAAGGACACCATTAAGTGAAAATACAACCCACAGAAGGGAAGAAAACATTCATAAACCTCTATCTGATAAGGGACTTGTATTTATTTATTTATTTATTTATATTTAATATATATAAAGAACTCTCACAATTCAATAATAAAGATACACTACCCAACTTAAAAACAGGCAAAGGATCTAAATGAACATTTCTCCAAGGAAGATATATGACTGGCCAATAAGCACATAAAAAGATGCTCAACATCACTAGCCTTCATGGAAATGCAAATCAAACCACATTGAGATACCAGCTCACACTCACTAGGATGACGGTAATCAAAGGCAGATAGTAAGTGTTAATGAGAATGTGGAGAAACTGGAACACTCACACATGGTAAAATAGTGCTGCCACTTTGGAAAGTAGTTTGTCAGTTCTCCCAAAGGTTAAACATAGTTACCATATGATCTAGCAATTCAACTTCTAGGGATATATTCAAAAAGAAATGAATGACCACACAAAATCTTGTACACAAATGTTCAAGAAACAGCATGACCAGTAATAGCCCCTAAGTGGAAACAACCCAAATGCCCAACAGCTGATGAATGGATACATAAAATGTGGTAGATCCATGTAATGGAATGTCATTCAGCAACAAAAGGAATGGACTGATACACGTAACATGAATGAATCTTGAAAACATTAGGCCAAGTGAAAGAAGCCAGTCACAAAAGACCCCCACATATTGTATGATTCCATCCATATAAGTGACCGGAATAGGCCATTCTAGAGTCAGAAAATAGTTGCCTAAATGTTGGAGAGGTTGAGGAGAAAGGAAGGTGTTAAAAGGAAATGAATGTGTGCTTATGGTTTCTTTCCGGAGTGAAGAGCTCTAAAATCAATTGTGGTGATGGCTGCACAAGTTTGTCAATATACTAAAAACCACTGTATTGTACACTTTAAATGGATGATTTATATGGTATCTGAATTGTATCTCAATAAAGTTATTTTTTTAAAAAAAGAGCTAGGCCAAGACAAATAGCTCCCGGAAAAAATGTTGACATTGGTAGGTACATTTAAGGAGGTGACAGTAAAATTCCAAACCCTTCAACAGCATGCTTAAAATACTGAAATGCTTGTCACACAAGTGTTAGTTTCTTGTCAGGTCCTATTTTAATCCATCATTTTTAGAGCAATCAATACAAATCAAGGAATTTCTCAAACAATCCATCTTTTATTCCAATAGAATCACATTTAACAATCAGGGTCATATGGCTTAAAAACATCTGACCTGGGTTTTGGACTAAGACCAATGAGATGGATAGTTTGTTGTCAGCAGCCTTTAAAATAATACTCTTGATCCAGCACCAGATAGAAAAGGGACAAAAGCTATTTGTTTTCATTGATTTTTTAGTATTAATTTTATTAAATAGTAGGTTCTAAAACTGTTCTGTAAATGAAATAAACTGGATTTTAAAAAGGTGGGGGGTATGAGAGCTGCCACACAACCCACCCCAAACAGCATACTGCATATTCTTGTGTTTATAGCATAAAATAAAGTGGAGCTCTAGTCCCATCCCAGTGCGTTCACCTGTGAACTTCCATACCCTTCCCTTCCCATCTCTTCCTGAGAATAGAAATCCCCCCTTTTAGGAGAATCACCCTTTTTTCCCATTACTGTGCTTCAAGAATACTATGCCTTTATATATGGATTTTAGTCACAGAATCCTTTAACTAAAGCCTTACCCTAGAGAACAAAAGAAAGAAAAAGAAAGAAAGAAAGAAAGAAAGAAAGAGAAAGAAAGAGAAAGAAAGAGAAAGAAAGAAAAAGAAAGAAAAAGAAAGAAAGAAAGAAAGAAA